CCATTATTATCTTATAATCAATCTTAACTAGAGATTCGATGAATTAGATGAATAAGAGGAAAGCATATAAAAATCATATTGATTTGTTTGCCTTCAAGAATGTGAATGGGATTGCATGTATTGGATACGGTGGAAGATTGTGTTAATAAATATATAATTCAGATTCGGTCTTTATCGATATATCACACATATAACTTATGATCAGATATTACTTACTAAAGAGTTATAGCCTGTGCATGGCACCTTTAGGAGTTGAGAGCTCTATTTTTACAGAATTACAAAAATGTAAATTTAACATTGTTATTTTTTTATGATGTTCATATATTTTGAGCTTTTGATAAGTTTAACTATTTTTCATACGCTAATAAGAGGACGAAGAAGATTATGGTGTGGACCATATTCTTTACCAATAAATTTACAAAAATACTAAAAAACAAATATATCAATCTTTTCCTGGTACAGACCAGTTAACTTATACTTTTGATTTTCTTGATAACTTTTATTATTCATTCTTGATAACACATTTCTGAAAAGAAAAATTGACATCAACAACCAACAAAAACTATATATAATTATCTAGAAATTGTTACTTTACAATTATTGGGAAAAAATCTAATTCAATTTATGTTTTTTAGTTCATCATTTATTCCTTTCACTTACCAACACTCGTATATGATGTATTATTAAGAATCATGGATATAGAATGGTTATGGATGAAAAAATTCTTGGGTTCACCCCTAGAGGTGCATCACTTTATTCATCTTTTCTTATTTTAACCAATAAGAATGTGATATCTAATATTACATTTAAATATAGAAATACAAAATACAAAAATCAAATTAAAAAAAAAATAAAAAAAAATAATTAAGAATAAAATAAATGAAACCCAACCCTAAATCTTAACTAAAACAAAAAGCTTAATATTTTATTTATTTATTTTAATTTTTAATTGATGAATATCCTAAAATAACATATATTTTTTTTTTCAAACTTAACACCCTAAATCTAAAATTCTGAAAATAGCACAAAAAATTATGTAAAAATACTTGTTTATCCAAAATAAATTTAAAATAAAATTAAATATATGCTTGGTTCACTATTTCCAATTTAGAGTTTAGTTTTTCTCCATTAGAAAATGTTAAAATATAAATATTAGATGTCACATATTTATTGGTTAAAATAAAAGGGAATGAATAAATGGGTTCACTATGAACCTAAGAATTATTCATTATGGATCATAGATCTATTTTTCAAAAAACTTAATATTCTTTATTCACCCTTTAAAATATATGAAACATGATACGAAGTCAATACAAATTGACATATAGAAGATCACAGCCCTTAAGACAAAATAAACAAGATGAAAATGAGACATAAGAAGAATAGACTCAAATGAAAAAAAATAAGTAAATTTTATTCATTTTTGTTTTCTGGAAAATCATAAATACAATTACTCTAGGAAACTTTTGAACACAAATGCTTTTGAAGATTTCAGTATTATAAGCTTTATCAGAATAGACAATCAAAAGGCAATCGGGGAGTGTTTTCACTGCTTCGCAATAATCTTTTGATAACCACTGATATCTTTGTCCGCTGCTAATCTCACTGCATCAAGACATCCTGGCACATTAAGTAACGCCGTTACATCCGAACATAAGGTTGACTTCGGCTAAGCTTCTTCTGACGGCTGGAACATCGATGTTAAGATTAGGGCTAACAAGAAAAGCAAAAATTTAGTTTGTTTTGGTTTCATTTTTGAAAGCATAAAAAAAAAATTGGTTTTGTAGTCGTAGATTAGAATTCTGTAGAGCTGATATCTTTGTTTCTGTAAATAAATAAACAAAATTTTGTATTAGAATTAGAATTTTCTTATATATGGAAGCTACTTGAAGAAATAAAAATATGTTTCTGTATATATCTTTTAAATAAATATGTTTCTGTGTATAGCTTTTAATAAAATAAAAATTCAAATCTTTTCAACTATATATATATATATATATATATATAGTTTAGATTCTGTGTACGGAATTCTATATGTATCGATTCTTTAAATAAAAACATGTTTGAATCATTTTATTATTGATTTTAAATTTTGAATATTTCATTTGATTAATGTTAGGAATATAAATAAAATAAATAAAATCATTCAAATAGTCATTTCATTTTTTTAACATTTGATCTATATTTTGTTACAAATTATAAGAACTATTAAATCATCTAAACATGTCTTCATTAATTTTCATTTAATAATAAACTGCATGTTCTGGGATTTAAACTCAATCTCTTAGTGTATAAGCATTAATTAACCATTGGTCAACCATTGGACCAAGTGGGGTTCCACAAATAGTAAAATTATTTCTTTGTAGGAAATAACAAAAAGAATTAGTTTTTTGTTTTTGTTTTAGTCAAATAACTTAAATTTCTGTTGATCAAACAACCATTTTCATATCAACATTAGTCAAAATTAAATGCTGACAATATTGTGACTAAAACAGATTGGTCAACATAAGTTGAGGATTAAAACAATTTGATTTAAATAAAAATTATAAATTTTTCTGGATGATGAATATATATGTTGGAGTTTTTTTTTGCGTGAAAGTGTATAGTTGAGAATGGGGAGAGAAGGGAATTTTTTTGGTGTTTTCCTATTTATTTTTTTATTGATCTTTTAAATAGTTCAAAAAAGTGGTTGTTTTTGGATCAAAATTAAAAAATGTACTTGGTGATATCTCATGGACTGACCACAAAATTCATAATCCTAAAACAGTACAGACTAGAATTGATGTTTTCAAGATTATAGCTTTTTGTAGGTTCACTTTAATCCACTACAAAAAGTTAACTAAATAGTTTAGTCTGCTTTGACAACTCTATCTATAGTCATATTGATTTCTATAAAATTCATTAGTCAAAACTAATCATCTAATTTCATATAAATTAATAAACGTCATAACCAAATTCCTATTAAGAAAAAAACAAGGAGTTAAATGGGTGTATACCCATAGATGATTCAGTAATTGAGAAAATGGGAAACGATAGTTTAAAATTAAGTATATACAATTTTGTATAAGGATTGTAGACTAAAATACCCCTACACCTACAAGAGAAAATTTCTGCAGACATCTTTTATT